CTTTGTTTTATTTTATCGTATAGTCGCATTTTTCAAGTATTCGGCGTATTCTGAAACTGAAAAACTGGGTGGCGTGCGAATCTTGTAGACTACATCGGCTTAGGCGTAGAGCTATTAAGTAAACAGGGCCTAAATTAATTTAGTAGTTTCATTTAATTATTTGTCTTGCTTTTATTTGTCAGTACAGAATATTGTAAATTAAAATATTACTACAATGCAATACGCGTAGTATTTCATCAGACATCTGCACTAATAAATACTGTACAAGGAAAACTTAAATAATAGTAGACATTTCTTGTTTTGTCAGGAAACACCACAGCTCACTTCGACACGGCTTTTGAGTTTTGTAACTGGCCGAGGCGAAAGTAAATCGTGCAGTCGGGAAAACGTTTTACTTTGAAAGATTATTTTGCAAAGCATACTCGTACACACAAGAATCATAAAAATACAAATGTTGAATTGTATTGTAATTTGTTATTGTCAACCGTCAAGTTCAGTTATTTTTAGACAATATGGTGTTAGCCAATCAGAATGCAAAAGTGACCGGCCCGGACCAGGGCTTCCTCGTGTCTCGCCTCGTCCCACACTGAAGCCCTGGGAACGAGGTTGATTATATGGTGGATTTGATCAATGGCAGACAATGTACAAAACTAAACTTGTGATACCTTCTACTCAAACCGATAATCTTCCACAACTCAATTGTTTTTGTGTGAATGTGCTGTACGTGTTAAACCGAACAGTGTGGTGTATCATTAACTGTGCACAGAACTGGAATTTAATTATATACTTCACTCATGACCTTCAAATCATTCTCAATTATTCAGTGGTCTTCAACATGTTCACCAAATATTTTGTGTATGTTACTCAACAGTTAACATTGGCAAGTGTAAACAACAAGTGAGATAACTTTTGCTTCATATGATTACAATAAAGTTTTGAAAATTTGATGAGTATGGATTGAATTGACAGGTGACAGTTTACTAAATAGCCTGCTGTATAGACACTTTGAATATTGCTTGCATGAAATTTTTATTTCCTGACTGCATAATTATCTGTTACAATCATAATCACTTTATAAAGTTAGTTAAATTTTCTCGGTGCGGGGGTGGAGGTAGTCTCCTACGCATACCTACTTAGCGGGCTGAGCCCTCACGTAAGGTATGCTTACTTTGGCCAAGAATTCCTTTCCTCAAAATTAGCCAATCACAGCTTTACCCACGAAAATTGTGGGGCTTGACCTTTGGC